TCGAAAGCAAAGCAAAATAAGTGACAAATTTATATCAATCGTACTTTATTCCGCAGGCAATCCAAAATTAATCTAAACTTTATGTAAATATAGGAAGAACTTAACAAAACATCGAGGACAAGTCTCTCCCCATAAGAAAATGATATATATAAATATATTTATTTTGACTTTGGGATTGTCTTGGTATAAATTCAGCTTCGAGAATTTTTTCCTCTTGCATTTATGTATTGTGACTTTTGTCTTACTTGTTTCTTACATTTTGAGGTTGACATAATGTGGTGACACGTTCTGCTCTTATTTTGTTACCTAAAAAACAAATGTACAAGGTACAACTGTACAGACATAAGTGTACCTGTCTATGTTAAGGTAAATGCAACTTTATCAAAATTGTCGCCATAAGTAACTAGAAATAACTACCTATTACTAATCTGTTATTATAATAAAATATAGTATATTTGTATTCCGGCTAACAGTTATAATTTGACGTTGTAATCACATACTTATTTATAAATTATCTATGCCCATGATGCTGTTCATATTATATAGCTGACTGTTTCTATTTTCTACCAGGTGGACTATCGCTTTGTCCGTCATTCCAATGTTTATAAAAAATGTTATACTTATTTAAAATGTAACACAAATTATTAGCGCTCAATATTTTCAAGTTCAATTTACGTACCGGTTTCTTGGACTGGGAAGATTATAAAACATCAAAACTAATCATAATTTACGGGCAAACTTTAATGTTTACATTTGTGAAGATGTTAATTTAAATACACTTTAGCCAAGTCCGGTCAATTCTCGTTTGGTGAGTTTCGTATAAAACTCAACTTGATTTTATCTAATCACTGTTGCAAGTTTATTACCGGATTACCAGATTATTCTATTAAAATATTAAAATTAGGAGAACTTCCAAAGATCTTCATTTGTCAACCATAATGACATTAATGTTCTGCTATCGGGAACAGGTTACTCCTTCGTACTCCGATAACCGCATGGATTATTTTTTCATTTAGGTAATACTAGACTTTCTCCCCGTCTTCCTCTACGTGACCGAGATTGGCCAGAATAAGAAATAACTTATGTCCTTCTCCATCCCAAATATTACAAATGTATACTTAATTTCACGAGACTGATAGAGCCATTAAGTTCTAAGTGGTTAAAAATAAACATTTACTTGTTTATTACAAAGTCATTGTTACTATATGATAACTTTTATAAAGAATTACGTTATATTTTAATACTTAAAAACTAGTTTTTTCCCGCTACTTCGTACGCGTAAATTTTTTAAGTAAAAAAGACTAATGATATAGACTATTTCTCGGTTTTGTATTAACACGAAACACATCAGTTATTAAATTATACTTACAGGAACACAACATTGAAAAACCGCATACAATTTGATGATGTAGTTTTTGTATGATGCTAAAATAAATATACAGACAAACGGACAAAATTTCTAAAAATTATTGTTTTAACATCTTGTGATCTTATTAAGACTCCATATATTATTTTTTCATGTACAGATGCCGTCTAATAACAATTTTATTCTAATAGTAACATGTTTAGACATAGAAGGAAATAATCACACCTATTTATTACTTGACGGATATTAATTAATTAATCTGAAGAGATTAGTTGACATTAGAAGTACCTATATTTACCCGATAATGGTGACGGTCACAATATCAATAAATATTAATATTATTACTCAATTAAATTCACACAATATTACATTTCCTCAGACACACACACACACACACACACACACACACACTCACACGCACGCACGCACGCACACACGCACACATGCACACACGCACACACGCACACACACACAAATTAATTAATTTTTTTTTTTTTACAACAAATATAACATGCGGCTCACCTGATGGAATATTTCACCCAGGAACCAACGGCATTGCAGGTACTATTTTTAAAAAGGAATATACTCTTTTCTTTTTTATGTTGTCGTATCGGTTCGGAAATACTGCTGCTAAAATGATTCCAAAGAAAAATATGTGGTAGAAAGTGCCTTGAAAAAATGGAAGAATCGTCCAGATGATTGGGATGAAACTTTATAATTATACTATAATCTATTTTATAAACTATATCTCGTAATTAGTAACGTATATGTGAAAACATGCAACGGTTTATAGATTTATATTCATTAAAGAATACTGTTTTAACAGTAATTTAAGATTATGTTCCCCAAAAAATAAACCGGCTTGAATTTTGAAAAAAAAAAACAATTATTTTAATTTAACAATTAAACTACTGACGCGATTTTGATAAAATTTCTATGGGATTAATCTGTAAGTATATTCTTTCAGAAAAAAAAGTATTTTTTTCAAATCGGTTTATAACTGACGGAGTTATGAGGTAACAAATATAAAAAAATGCAACCAAATTAAAAATTATATACTTATCTTAGTTTTTTTTTAAAACAACTTAATTTTTTGCTCCAGAAATCAATTAGATTTTTATGATTGTTTTTAAATAGATACTTAGGGTTTTTTTTATAACAAAGGAGCAAACGAGCATGCGGCTCACCTGATGATAAGTGACTACCGCCGCCCATGATCACCCACAACACCAACGGCATTGCAGATGTGCTGCCGGCCTTTTAAAAATGAATATACTCTTTTCTTGAAGGTTATGTTGTCGTATCGGTTCGGAAATACTGCTGCTGGAAGTTGATTTCAAAGAGTGGTTGTGCGTGGAAGAAAGTACCTTGAAAAACGCACAATGGAAAACGGTCACTCGTCCAGATGATTGGGATGAAACTTTAGTTTATGGCGGGTTGAACCAGCAGCAGGTATCAATCCGAACAATTCCTCAGAACAATACCTATGATAAATTCGGTAGAAGATGCACAGAGATGCAACATCTCTGCCCAGTTTCAGTTTAATTTCGTATTGATTTTTTATAATTTTTTTAACTATTTATGTTGCCACCTATCTTTGCGGGGAAAAACTATTTATTGTGAAGCTAAATAGACTTACAAATATGTGATACCAATCAATTTCTATAATCTCTAAAGTTGCATGCTTGTCTATTTGTTTTATAAATTCTTATAGTTACATATAATGTAATGACCTATGGCGTTCTAGAAAAAATCTTCAGTGTTTTATGCAAATAATCGCACAGGTGTCGAACAAGGACATAAATTATTAATATTATGTTAATTACCATAATAATATGAAAATAGTAGTCTACTACAGAAGTGTACCTGTATTTTTTTATAATTTTTATTAAGTATTTATATATTTATTAATTACAATATAAACATATGTCATTTTAAATTTACGGCTAACTCGCTGATAATAAATAGCAATATTATAAGCATTATTTGTCAAATTTTTTGTTGTCTTATTTCACATGAACATTTCCATTGCATACATGTAATTAATTTTTAGTTTGTATTTTATTCATCATTTTTTTTGTTTTCGTTCTTGTTTGTTCATATTTTTTTGTTAACTCCTATTTTTGTTTCTTTGTGTACAGCGCCTTGTATCTATATTGTTCCTACTTGTAAAAACCTATTAGTGGCTTATTTTATGATCCTAAACTTTATTTTTTTGCTCTAGTGTAGCCCTGGTTTTCCTATGAATAAATAAATAAATAAAAAAGTCCTACTAGAATCTACCAAAAATGCATGTAACTTGCGAAACCGAGCAGAAATAAAGCCAGTCATAATAACTTATGTCATGATAGAGGGTCGAATTGATATCTTCTTATCTGCTATAGTCTTGATATTATCTTTAAAATTTTGTACTAATAATTTGTCAAAAAATGTGTCATAAATAATATGGTGGGTAGCGGAGGCTCCTGTATCTAACATTCAAAAGTTTGCAAAAATTAGGGTTAAATCAAAATCATACCGAGCAGTCACCAAATATAAGGTAAAATAATTGCTATTAGCAATTTATTCGATGTTATTTCAAGTCGATTTCAATTCAATTATATAAACAGTCGCCTAGATCTTTGCCAGCAGCTAAGAAAATCTTTGCATAGATGTATCCAAAATATATCAATTCGCCAAACCGCACATTTCTCGAAGACATATCCAAAAAAAAAGAAAGAAAAGACAACTTGGACAGGGCATATGTAGTTCCCACATCCTAAGTCTGTTTAAAATTTGGTTAATTTTGGAATTAATTTTAAATAATAAAAATAATCATTACAATGAACCTTGCGAACTTAGTTATAGCTAATAGATAGTATCTAAAAATAGGTTACGGTTAGTTTTATACAAACTTGTTGCATCATCCAGGTCATTAGCAGCAGAAGCTTCGTAAAAGGTTGTCCAACAGGCTTCTTTCGACCAATAATAGACTTATATCGATTTATAACGGTTTAGTTTAGTTTTTAATCTGCGAATGATAGATCTAGTGTGAAACAAAGTAAACATTTATCTGCTTAATGTATGAGGCTGCAAATATCCAACTATTGCCATCTATACCTGCTCGTTAGATCTACCTGGATGTTTATTCATTGTAACGTTATGTTGCTATACTTTAAGCAACAGGTTATGCTTATAAGCAGTAATTGTAACACACGTGACAATTTTTTGTATTTTAACTACAGAAACAAAATTTACAAGTCAAAAAATCATTAATTAGTTAATGTTAATAACGCAAATGAATAAATTTCTAAAACAACTTATAAATAACTTAAAAGTCTTGAATAGTATCGAGTTGTTAAATTGGCGATAGATGGCAGTACAGGACTTGATAAAGCAGATTAAGGCTTTGACGCAAAATAATAATCGTACGGATTTTTAAATTCATTTTGTAAGAGATGGTAGATTTACTGTATGAATACATAGTTTGTTGACTGTATATTGAATACTATTTAAATAATAAATAAATGTAATGTCAACGTAACATTTCCAGGTGAGTATAAAACATGGCGGCGTACGCGATCGGTAAAGCGGTCGCGCCGGTCCGGTGCTCCGACGGGCGACACGCAAGCGCTCCGACTCAGGTAGGTTAAGATTCACGGTCCACCGCACTTGCTGCTTCTATGCGCAGTCGACGCGGCCCTCCCGTACACCATACTAAACGCGACCGACGAAATGTACGAGCTTCTGTTATCGGTGGATTAGTGAGGTGATCATATAGTGAATTGTTCTATGTGTCTGTGCTTGTGATATGATTAGGAGTACCAGCTACTAACCGAGCCACCGTCCGCAGCGGATCTTAACGGTAAATTTCGTCAAACATGACACTATGACCTACCCGTGTTTACCGCCTGGTCAGGTGATTTAAATCATCATCAATTATCTAACGGTTTCTTTAGGGTTAATTCAGTCGAGAGTTAGTCGTACACGCAGCATCGTTCCACATTCGATAATGACAATACGATATTTTTCTTCCACGTAGCCTCTTGCGGTGTTTACCCGTAAATTATGACACCCATAAGTATCCAATGCGTCCGTGTGCACCATGTCAGGCACTCGTTAAACAGCATCTCGCATGGTTTTCTTAAGAAAGTCGTATTAGTTTTGTTGAGTCGAGTTAACTAAAATTTTATGGATTTAGGCGTCAGATTTTACCGTTGCAGAAGAAAGTTAGAGATCGCAAATATGTAGGTTCTTTACATTCTAAATCGGTTTGTATCGTCTAAGAATCTTATTGGATTTTAATTGATTGTTTTGTAGGAAGTATTTAAAGATTACTAATAAATTTTAACGTAATGGCCGTTTAAATGGATTCCTACCTGCATATAGGAAAATATATACTTGAGTATTTGTGTTTAGTTAATAAAGTTTATTGTAAACTTATAATTAATTGATTGTCAGCTGTTAAAATCTGAGTAGATATACCTATTTATGTGGTTTTCTCTGTCATCGGTTCATTAAACATTCTCTTGAGAGAAACAATAGCATCTTGTTCCCATAGAAAGTTGTAAACAACAATTGTCCCCACGACGTTGCTAATTGCTTGTTTTAACCTTGGAAACAGGAATGTTGATTTTAAAATTCACGTAAACCTAATCGATTGACTTGGAAGTACTTATATTGGTCATGTTTACAGAGTGGTTTCATTGTTACAGTTTTATCCGCACAACAGTTAATCTTATTGCAACTGACATGTATATATTTGATTGAACTTAAAGCATGGTATTTTGAAACTATAAATAAATAATTGGTACAATACAATCATATTATAAAATACTAAATAACAATTACATCAATGATCTTAGTGATCAAATAAGATTTTTTTTATGTTATACAATAGGATTCATCTGTGCTGATTTACAATGATTTAAGATATTGTTCCATACAAAATTAAAATTGCTTCAGTTTTAAAAAAATATGGAAGTGTTAGTCTCATAACGAAACTGTATTGTGGATATATAGGTATGTCACGTATATACAAGGTGAATCTGAAAATATTCTGTTGGTCCACAGATCCTTTTGGAAATTATACTCACACAATTTTTTGTAATAACTCTTTTTCTACATTCAATAAAAACGTTGAAACTGCTTTTTAGCAATCCGGCTACCAAGCGTGGCAACTATTGGTATGAGAAGACCTATGTTCGGCAGTGGACAGTTAATGGGTAATATGATGATAGTGGTGATGTAGTAGATGTCAAAATACGATTCGTCTCAAGTTAATCGTATTTTGTTTTATGTTAAGTTCTATATTATTTAAAAAACTTATGTTCATTCTTAACAATGTAAAGTCAAGAGTTATAGAAATTAGTGTTCGTGCATGAAACATGACGAGTTATGGAAGTTAAATGAAGGAGCTTGTTGGTTTAGTATCTATATCTTTATATTTATTTTTCTGTACAACTTAGAATGGCAAACAAGCTGAAACACCATGGACATAACAGAGTATTCTATGTCGCCCATAATACTCTTCACATTTCTAAGGACATTATTAATTTAATGATCAATGCTTATTACCGGTTATGTGATCCTTATTAATATTATAAATGTGATGGTGAGTTTATTTGTTTGTTACTCTTGGCGCCCTAACTCGTCGCTATTAAATTTGATAGGTATATAGGTACTACTATACGGAATGAAAAAACATAGAGGCTACTTTTATCCCGATCAGTGATCATACCCCGACCACGCGGGTAAACGTTAGTGAATAATATTTGCCAAATATAAATTTTGGTTTAAACCGATAAGAAATGACACGAAAGGAATTAAAATTGCAAATTACAGATGTATGACAAGATGTAGTTTTAAAATATAAATCACAGTTGTGTTTTATTGCTTGTTTTGACATGTCAGGCTAATGTAGAATGGAAAGTAAACTGACAACCTTTTAGACTTAAACAAATTATAATGTATAATTGTAAACGAAAATTTAAATATTTATACTATTATATATATATTTATGTAATATTCTAATATATATATCATCATTTCAGCCATCATCCGTCCACTTCTGGAACATAAGCCTCCCCCATAGATTCCCATAAAGAACGGTCCTGAGCCACCTGCATCAACATTATTTACATTATTATATATTACTTGTTATATTCATTCATTTCAACCGTTAACTGTCCACTGCTGAATATATCAGGGGGCCTCCTCCATAAGGGGAGATTTGTCTTTAGTTGCCATGGCAGGCGGGTTGTCAACCATTATGTGTTATAATATAATTAGAATCGTCGGTACAGTAATAATTTTGTCACCAGAACTGTTAAATATAAATATAATTTTACAAATATAACGCATTATAATTTTTTATTATATTTTTTATAATTAAGTGAAGTAATCTTTTGAATTATCACGTTTTCGTAAAATTAGTCTTGGGTGCAAAATGTTGTTCTTTTACAATAAGTCACAAAAAATTTGTAAATTGCTTTTTACATGTTATTTTACAAATTACATGCATATAGCGAGTTCAGAGTACAAATATGTAGAACAGTGTAATTAATAATGATAATTTATAAGAAAACGAGAATTACAAAAAGAAATCCAGTCGTAAAAATGTCGAATAGACCAGTCTCTGCAACCTACAAGCATCCGTTATATGTAATCTACGGATTAATAAAAAATCTACGTCTTTTGATAAGTCTAAAAATATCAATATAAGAAAGTCCATGGCCGTTCATTCAAAATGTATACGGTTTGACGTCAATACAGCATTTTATAATAGTACACACAAAGTGTATGTATGTCTATATAAAAGACTTCAACGACCGATAATGGGGATATGGAGGGATATATGTTAATGAAAAGCGTGGGTAATATGGATACCGATCCGATATCCATATTTTGGGTTCCTCTGGAAATTTTTTTTTCCAACACAGGCGGCAAACGAGCTTGCGGCTCACCATCAGGTGGTGACTACCACCGCCCATGAACACCCACAACACCAACGGCATTGCAGGTGTGCTACCGGCCTTTTAAAAAGGAATATACTCTTTTCTTGAAGGTTATGTGAGAAGTGAAAAAGGTCACCACACATTTTGGTATCGGCCATATCGGTCGTATATCTGTTTTCGAATATGTTAAAAATCTGATATTATTTATCCGATATTATTTTTTGGATAACAACAGACTTATAATTTATTCTTTATTGGACCAGAATATAGATATTGTAACTAAAATATTTAGATATTTGGATATTATTAATGGCATTAGTTTAGCCCGATGTGTGTTCGTTATTCATTTGTTTATATTTTACTGAACTAGGTGTTATTTTGCGAAAGTCCAAATCACTGGTTACTTGAATAGATTTATTATAATTCCGCTACCATTAGTATGTGTGTGACTGCCAACATTCGAAGATCGAATGATTAACAATAGGCTCCGAGCAGCGATCTAATAATTTGCCTGAAGACGCCTCGTTTAACGGTGAAATACGTATCGCGAAACGTGCATGAACAAAATAACAGTCGGAGATTGAAAGCTAATATGGAAGGTTATGGAATTTCTGATAGTAATAGTTATGATCAAACTTCGAGTGTTGGCAGTCGCACACATACTAATGGTAGTGGAATTAAACAAAATAATTTTAATCAAATGACCATTATTTTGTTTTTCTAGATAAAATCATAGCAGGATGTTGATTGACCACAACGTTTTATTATTTAATATCCGACAAATGTTTTGATTGGATAGATGGTGACTCAATGTAGTTATTATATAATATATAGGCATACTAACTAGTTATACTAATAATTTTTAAGCGGTTCCAAAATGAGGTTCTCATTTAATATCTTCACTAAATATTAAACAGATTTTGATAGATATTTTTTACATACAATATAATTCATGATTTCTAAGTGTATGTATATCGACTATATGTAGAACCCATAAAACTATCTAATTACTTATAGATTCTTGTGCTATGAATATAATATTTTACAATTTTAATGTATTAATAGAAAGTGTTTTTAAAACCGAGTTCTTTTAGAGAGAAACGTGCAAACATATGTTTGAGGGGGGGAGGGGTTGTTAGCAATGGGGTCAAATTGAGTCAGTACTAGCAATATATCCTTTTAGATCGACCTCCAGGTGGTTCCCCTGAAAATCGTCATGATTATTTCTAGTGGATCTCGTCACGATGGGCTAACTGACCTGCCTTTTCATCCTCATCTGTCATCCCTCACTGGTGCCTCGCCAGCGTATCCCGATAGCGCAGGCGGGGTTACTATTCTATTATGTCTATATTCCTCGCAAAATGGTATTTATTACATTGCATTACATTTATCGGGTCTTCGAACACTCTAGGTTAGGTGGGGGCCTCGGGGCAAACACATTTGCCCTATCTTCAACTCCGGAGGCGATTACACTTGAGTCTCTAGATCAAAGCCTCATCAGCAGTGGTGTGGCGCGGTCTGCTTGTTCCATAATGGGGTGTGAGTTCGTGAAACCCCCCTTTCTTCTCTTTATTAAGTATTTAGTTAAGTTAGTTTTATATATATATATATATATATATATATATATATATATCTTTATATATATATATATATACAAAGATATATATATATATATATATCTTTTAAGTAAATAACTATTATTTGGGCTGCCATAAAGGGAAATATATATTCAGCAGTGACCAATTAACGGTTGATATGGAATGGTTTGGTATTTGGGCAGCAAAATGAAAATAAACTACTGTATAAATATCGACTGATATATTATTTAACCGACTTCGAAAGTACTCACTAGGTGTCACCACATCCTTCCTATATTACTCGAATAATATAATTGATTTATTTTCGATCT